ATAATAATAATAATAATAATAATAATAATATGCTCTTTATGAATAAAAGATAAAATGGAAAGCCAAGCTCTCAAAAGTTCTCTAACAGTAAAATGGGGATTAAATAAAAAGTTTTTAAAACAAATCATTCATCTAAATTCATAGCTTATTGGAAACAATTCCATTCATAAATAAGTGATTAAAAGTCTTAATATGATAACAACTTTAACATTTAGAGAGTAAATAAAAGCCTGTTTTTCTATAAATTGCAGTCTAAGAGAATGTAATTGTTAAAAATTTGTTAATAAAGGGTAGAGCAAGCGTTAGTAGAGTCATCATTGTCTAATATGATTCCAAATATCCTTGAAGGATGATGCCTTAGAGGAAATTCCTTTAAAGAGAATTTGATCAGAGGCACCAAAAGACATTGGAATGTTGATGACTTTATTCATAACAGAGTCAGGAAGGATGTTTCTACGTTTAACAATGCTCCAAATATTATTAATCTTAAATTCATAAATTTTATAGAAAGAGGTAGAATGGGAATTAAGAAAAGAGTCAATTGAACCATCTCCTAACCACTTATCTTGCCAAAGGAAAACATTGCCTCTTATTCCAAGGTCTCATGAAATGAGGGCTTCAACTTTCCATTTGACCTCACAGAGCCTTTTCCGAATGGGTGAGCTATCATATTTATAAGAGCAAGTAACAAGATGTTTATTGAACATATATATTATACATGTAAAAAATCCAAGGATTACATCCACTTCAGTAAGTCCATCAAAGGACCATATCAGAGAATAACTTACAACCATTACCACCCTCTTTAATAGAGATGCACAGTTTATTTCCAGAAGCATAATGAATATATTTAGATTATTTAACAAAATCCCAAAAAAATTATTAATTTCGTCATTCTAGAACAAACATCAATAAGGGGTGACAAGTTTGAAGCAAATAAAATGAAAATGAGCCAAGAATACTTTTAATAAGAGCAGGTTTCATACACATAGAAATAAAATGAAGTTCCCAAGTAGAAAGCTTATTCCTTATAGATGTAATAACATCATCAAATAAAAAGCTTTCTTTTAAAACCTTTATAAATAAGAACATCCAAATATTTAAAAAGGCAATTTTGGCCATTGAAATTTATTTCATCTTTATATTTTTTTATGGACCTGGGAAACATAGATTTGGCAGTAATAAAATTACTTTTATTGGAGTTAATAGGCAAAGAGGTAAGATCTTCAAAAACTTTTAAGGACTACTGATGAGTTTAATGGAAGTAACGAAACAATGATAAAAATAATATAATCAAGAACAAAATTAAGATGACTAATATCATAAGAAAATTTAGTCTTATAGTAACAAACTTTATTATCGGAGAAAAGTTTAATAAGACCCCTTTAGAAGTATTCAGTGGTTATGATGAATAAGGCGAGAGAAATATGGTCTCCTCGTCTTAAACCTTTACAAAATTTAAAGAAG